TTATTACATGTATATCCTAATCGCCTGTCCGAAAATCAGCACAGGTGAAACAGAATCTATTTTTAGAATAGCGAAGGTTAACTCATATCGTGACCTAGAAAAATATGTAAACAAACCACTAGAATCGGAAGTAGAAGTGATATTATAACTTCCTTCAATAAAGATTACCATGAAAGACTACGTGGTGGTAAAGTGTTGAAAAACTCTCTTGTTACATGCATTTTCAAAAATAGATATTTATACTAACCATTGTACTGTATCTTATTTATTAATAACTGCAGGGGGTCGAACGTATAGCGGTGCGATACTCCTTTAAGCGAGGTGAACTCATGCGATACGCCCTAATGGCGGACGGGAGCGAAAACGAAAGTGAGTACGAGCGTGTTTTTCCCCAAATATTTGTTGTCTATTGTACTTTTTTGAATAATAGCATTGTGCATGCTGATCAGAACTTATAATTGTGCATGCTTGTCAAAATAAAATACTAATACTTATAGAATTGAGGAAGTTATTGAGGTATTTGTTGCTGCAAATTTAACCGTCAACCTGATATGCACATGCAAACGAATCATGTATCAGTCGTTTTAAAACGAGATATTAGATTAGTTTAAGTCCTAACATGTTTATTTTTGAAAATAAAACGATATTCAAGAGTAGTTTTCGATATCTATTTGAAAATATATAAAATATTTCCATTTTTCTTACTGTACGCCTAATATTTGGTCCGATAAATCAACTGTACGCACAAATGTTGGTATGTGTTTCTGTAACAATTTCCTCATTACAGTACATTCTTATTCAATATTGATGAAATATCAAGTTTTGAGTTTGTATGTTAATCATATGTAAATCACAGTGTCAATCAAAATAACAGTGTCAATTAATGTATTATACTATGATATAGTTAATTTAAATACTTCCCACAAAGGTTAATCATTCAAATGAGATAAGTTATTGCACAGAAATTTGAAATTCTATCAAATAATCAATAGTCACGATAATATTCGTTTTGTTTCTTCCATTTATTCAGTAAAGGTTTTTCTATTATTAATTACTTATTTATGTTGTCAGAGAAAATAACTTTAATTAAAAAAGCAACATATGAGAAATGGATCTGCTATTGTATTACGTGCACTGGTCGAAAAACGCTCCCATCCATTCTTATGTTCATTCAATACCTTGAAAACTACATGTAATAATTTTTTTTTGCAATGGAACTTGAAATTTATATGGAAAAAATACTGGTTTGATTTCCTCTATGGATTGGATCTTATATATATTATATACAGAGCACATCATTGTATTTCAGTAATTCTAATGTTTGCCATTAGCTCTGACGCTTTGAATATATAACTATACTACTCCATAACCAGTGTATACCAAACAGCTTTGCGTATTTGCTTATGAAAGAATTCATACTTTTAGTGATTTAACATATCTGCCAGTAGTTTTACTTTTAAAACTAGGCTTTCTCTGCAAAATTTAATGTATAGCATTACCCCTCACTTTTTTGTAAATATTCATTTCCACTGGGAGTTACTCTTACTGTTAAAGCAAGTGTACCATGTGACTAAGAGATTTATACTGTTACAGGCCAACAGTACTTTTAAACAGTATAAAATCTGGGCAAGTGTTTTTTATGTAAATAAAAGTATTATAGATTACAGTATCTGTTCGGGAAGTAAAATAAATAACACACAAGCACACATCAGTAAAAATACCAACCCTCCTAACACCTTGGCTAACAGTATTTTCCTTGGGATGATATTTTAACTGTAACCCACAAACCAATGTGTTATTTATATACTACTTCATAACCTGTGTGACTCAATCTAATATTATATACTCAATAGCTTTTTGTTTATTTGCACATGTGTCAGCATTTGTACTTGTGGTACTTTACCTATCTGGTAGTAGTTTTGTCTGTTAATCAAGTTGTTATGTTTTAATTGCTCTGCAAAATTTACAACTATGTTTTTGCACATGTGAGCATCAGCTGTTCCTAAGAAAGACACTGAGCTGTTTGGTGTCCAATGTCTGACTGAAGTTTGAAATTGAAGTTTTGTGTTTTTTCCTGACATGCCACAATTAAATAGCCTGTTCTAAGCAACATTTTAGAAAAGTATTTTACCACCTTAAGATTTTTACCACCATGTTCTCAGTCTCTATCTCTAGAACAGCAGATAAATGTACTTTCACTGTATTTTATAGGTTGTTTGAAATGTTCAATTCTATTTATAATTTGAAAAATATCAGTTTGACAGCAGCATGTACAAAGATCTTAGAACCCCATGAAGTAAAACAGCCCTTATATCACACATTAACTGCTATTTTTCTGAAATGTTCGCTTTGAAAGTGAGTTAATTTATACAAGATTTCTTAATTGGTTTCTTAAATTCATTCTTACATATTTTTGTCAAATTCCTACTTTTTTATCTAAGATCTTAGAGTAAAGGTTACTTTTATCCAACTCCTTATTATCACACGATAATTATTATCAATATTCAAATTAAGTTCAAACACTTATATAGATGGTTATACAAAACTTTTATTTCAAGTAAATCTCTAAGGAAAGAAGAAGATTTCAGAATTCCGGAAACGGGCACATATATGGTAGATATCTTAGTATAATCATAGGAAAACATGTTCAACAGATGTGATAATGAAAAATATCGAACCTTTAACAGCGTACAGTTATTTTATCGCACCAAAATCCAGCGTACACTTAAATATTTTGACTAGTAAGCGTCTATGTATATCGGAGCACAAAGGCACTTGCTATGCAACTCAATTATGATTACTCTTAAAGCATAAAGAAGAAATAGAAATTAACTATATTAATATAAGCTTGCATTAAGCAATTTTATTCACCGACCCAAAATTAGTTGCCGTCAGTTTACCTTCAATAACTTTTTTAATTATGAATTTAGGCCTCTGTAATTTTGATGAAATGTGTGTCGGTCCTATCTTCACATCCTCCATACAAAATATGCAATTGTAATCGAAGATTTATGAAATACTTAATAAAAAACCCTCACTCTGACGTGTGTTTACACGGGTAAATCCGCCATTAGGGCGTATCGCATGAAATCACCTCGCTTAAAGGAGTATCGCACCGCTATACGTTCGACCCCCTGAACTGCTGAATATTCAGCTAAACCCGCGGTATGAGTCACGAAAATAGTTCTTATTTTATTAATGCGCGAGTTATTCTAGAGTCACGAAAATCTTTTGATTTGTTAATAATAATGTTTTGTATAATGTAGAAATATTTATTTCCTACTAATAATTTCTTGGAACTCAGAGCTTACACCTTTATTATAGTATAATTTGCTGTCTTACTTTTTTACTTTTTCGACAGCGGTAAATCGTTTCGGCAGTAATTTGCATAATTGCGCAATAATACTACGGGACTACAACGTTTTTATCAATCATATACGTTCATACATGTATTTTAACTTGGATAACTTAATTTGAAATTGAAAAGGCTAAATATGGAAGATTTTAAGATATCCCGACAAAGTATGGGAGTTTTAAAGGATCAAATTCATGTACTATTTCTTGTGCAGTTAATCGGTTGTGGACACTTTGCGCGATTGTAGCCGACGAAATCCCATGTGTAGATGACTTAGCTCTGAACGCGCCTGAGGGCGCGTCCGTCGCAAAAAGCCTAAAAACTAGAATCAGAAATCTTGAGGAGGTTGCCGACGTTTGTTAAGTATGACAGCTCTCAATATACTCCCTCTAGTCAAGATTAAAATGATGTGCATAATTTCCATACTAAAATCTATCCATATTTTAAGTTTCATAAACATTTTCAGCTTTTTTTGACAAATCACAAATATTGTAATATTTGCCATGTTTTAAGCCTATTTGTTGCCATGTCAACCATTTCTTTTTCAAAATAGGTGAAAAGAAAAAGACATGCATAATTTCCATACTGCCATCTATCCATATTTCAAGTTTCATAAAAATATTTTCAGTACTTTTTGCATTATCACTAGATCCAGTTTATGTGTTAAATTTGCCATATTTTCAGTCTATTTGTTGTCATAGCAACCAGAATTTTTAACATACGGACGGACGGACAGACAGACAGACAGACAGACAGACAGACAGACGGACAGACCCGTAAAAACCAATTCTCTTGAAATGTTTCAAGATCTGAAATGGTCATCTTTTTCATCTAGATGTAAATACTTTTCTGGAATTATGCTGTATAAAGCGATGAATAAATTAACACCAGCATAATTATATTTCTGATCTAATTCCGTTATCTTAGAATTAAACGTACTTAAAAAGATCAACACAGAAAAAAGACATTATGCATAAACAAATTGTTTGAAACATACTTTTTATTATTCTAGTATGGAGTTATGGAACACTATTCCTTTAGAAATAAGAAGTTTTTCAAGTCTTAAATTGTTTATATCACATTTCAAACATTTATTATTATCTAAAGATGAATTATAGACAACATACCTATATACCTATACTATAATATAATATTATGTATGTCTTCTTTGTTGGTTAAGATGTACTGAATGTTGTTTTCTTTATAATTGCTTTAAATATATGTCCATTTTTATGTTTACTGGTATTGAAGGCCTTGTTCAAAATAAGATTTTGCATTATATGTGTTATCTCTACTACTTTGATATATTGTCTTAATAAGCCACTTTCGTTAAATAAAGAGTTTATTATTATTATTATTTATTATTATTATTATTATTATTATTATTAGGCATAACTAGTTGTACATTATGTAAAAATCACTTCATCTAATAGTTTGTTTCTTTTTCACATTGTAAGCCATATGCAGCATCACAGGCCCCAATCATTTAACTTGTCTTATTTCTCTTGCAGAGCTCCCTTAAATTAATTGATACATAATATTTGTATTTGTTTTTACTATCTAAACAAACAGTTAGTAAATTGCATTAATTGCAGTTATTTAATTATGATCATATTTGCTTTATATATTCTTAAACTGGGCTCAAGTTTATTTGAAAACTTGAATGCGATTATTGATTTGTAATTTGTGAAATGTTCAACACAAATATGGATAATACATTTCTGAAATCGAAAGTTGAACAAATCTATAATATACAATGTAATCTATTATAGGTTCTTATGGAAAGGCTAACAAGTTCATCAGACTACACCAGGTAGGCGAGATATTTTAATGATAAAATTCTGAAACCAATGCTTGACGAGTAACTGCATATGTGCAATAGAAATACCTAAACATTATCACCATACCGGAAGACGATATTATTTTTGCAAAGTGTCATGTACACATGTTTAACATTTGGCGGATACAGCGGTGTGTGTGTGGGGGGGGGGGGGGGGGGCAGGGGGGCAGGGGAGGGCTGACATGTCGGTTTTGAAAAAAAGCAATGCGACAGTTTTGGCCAGCATCTTGTACATATGTGACAATTTTAAATGTAATATTTCTAATTGTCTTTTATATCTCATCTTATGAGTGGTAATGTACTTGCATGTATATTATATATATGACGCACGACGCGAGAAAACCGGTCTTAATGACACTACAATAATTTTAATGTGCACTACTGCGATTTAGATGACGTCACTCTTATTGCGTATACAGTTTACAGTACTGTACTGTATATATATAGAATCTACAGTACTTTAAGTATGCTTTGAAATACAGAAGAATAAATTAATCTGCAACATACATCAGTGCCTTTATATAGAATAAATTTACGTTGCTTTGATCTTGGACTTAGTCTAGGCCCTATTGTAGGGGTTTACCAATTGCAGGCAGATCTAAATTTACATGTATGTTGATTTAAGAATAATCTAATCACACGCAAGTTAAATTAATATTCTTTATCATAATTCATTTAGAATATGTTTCTATAATTCATTTAGAATATGTAAGCAATAAAATAATATATGTCCAAAATATGCTACGTCATCATGGAATAAAAAAAGTTTTTTAGATTTAATATTGTCTTTTATTGATTAATTAGCACGATTTATAAGTAGTGCTGAGAGAAAAGCTCAGTGGCCACACATTCAAACAAATCGAGTTCGTATCCTGTTGATACCAAATTTTTTATATCCGCTTTTTATTCATTTTTTTGTCATTCATAGGATCTGAAATCCCTCTACTCGGATTATTTTGGGAGAACAGCTATCAACTCCCAAAACAGATTTGTCGAGAGATACTGAATATGATTATTCAAAATGTGACACTAGCAACGGCGGCATTGCGGGACCACGTACGTCTCGCACAAAAGGTTATAATAGGAAAATAACAATAATGTAACGATACACTTTTAAATAATTTAAACAAATATCTGCCATGCTTGATTTTTTTCCAAGCTAATATTAATAAGATTCAATACACTAAAAAATTGAACAGAATGCATGATTTCTATTCGGACGATATCATGATTCCTATGACCGTGATTACAAAAATCGTGGTTTTAAAAACTTCAAATTTATGTTTTACTTAGGATACCTTTTTTGTAATTTTATTGGAACGTGATCTATAAATGAGTGCATAAGGCGTAGTGTTGCCACACGTAACTCGGAGGAAAAGTTTGTCCATCTTACGTTTATCCTGGTATTTTTTTTTATTTTGTAGCAAAATATTTACAATGATTTACGGGACAAGATGTTTAATATATACAATGTACTCTTAACTACCATCTTACACCATCAGATATACATCAGTTCTAGGGATATACTACTAAAATACTACAACCACTACTTGTCAACTCATAAAGTATCAGTACAAATACCAGTACTGCTGCACCAGTATGTTTGGTTTGAAAGCAAATAAATACCAGTTCTTTAACATTTTAGGGATTTTACTATCATTTTACCAAGTCTGTACACAGTTAAAATATCAGTCTTTTAACTTGGTCTAAGTTAAAAGACTTAATTTGAGTATAGATTGTGTAAAGAATTACTTATTGGACTATATTTTAAAAAGAATGCGTTATATAGGGCAAAATAAACAGTTACACTGGTTACGTTATTTATTATTTTATGTGGGGCGATAAGACAGGACATAATGAAAAGATCGAGTACCATATGCAAGTACCAGGTACTGATTCAAGAAATCTTCATTACTAAGATTTTACTTATTCTAGTTATTAGGCAATCTGAACTGATTTTGAAACTCTTATCTGTTTTCCAAAAGACAAAATATATGTATCATGAACACTGTAGTATTGTTAAAAAGCACTTCAAATCGCAGCAGGTAATTAATGCTTTTGAATATAACAAATAATTTAAATTTTCTTTTGCGCGGTGTTAAGTTGATGCGGGATTTGCACATCTAAAGATTAAATTCCGGTGGCATGATTTAGAAACACTTCAACAGCTTGCCCATGTTACAGAGTTACATCTACAACCAACAGCCTGTATGTTACCCCAAGTTGTCATGGCGACAATGGAAATCCGTTCTAGAGGGATATTTGTATAAGGTAACCTATGTTTATCTTATTTAAATGAAAATGTTGAAACTCAGAACTCCAGACTCAGAAAATATCTTAAACATGAAAATTTAAGGGTAATTTTTTCTAATCGTTTACACGTAGCTTTATTTTCTTCTTTGATTTACTTTAACTTTATATCATGAAGAAAATGTAGATACTGTATAAATGGTCCTTAAAGAGTAATAAGCTATATATACTGTATAAAATTAGGAAAAAAACATAAGGAAATAGTTCTGTAATCACATATTAATAGCAATTGTTGTTACATAGAATGTCTCCACATGTATATTGTTCGTGATCAGCATAAAATGTTCCGGAACAAAATATTATGCCGAGGGAATTCGCAACATATATCCAGCTAATACACTTTAATGTGAGATAAATTCTGTAACATTTTTTACTGGTTTAAGGTTTAAAATATGTACGGATGGTCTTATTTTACAAAAAAATATTTTACACACATTTACCGTTTATGAAAATCAGTCATGTGACCAAGTTTACTGTAATGCTCTAAAAACAGTCCAAGCTCTTCCGTTTTTTAAACTCAACGAGATGTAAATGTGGCGCTCTAAATAATGTTGTTTTTTTATTCATTAAAGCATATAAAGAAATCAGTTTGCGGCATTTTTCATTACGGATATTTATCATTTTTCTATTGATAGAAAATTCCTGCACTTCCGGTTCCAGTCGAACACACCGGGTGTGGTTATGGCCAAAATAAAACATGAAGGCGAGGAATATTAGATTCAAGTCTTGAAAGAACACGGATTCCGGTTCAGTTCATGTGTCCATCCAAGCGTTATTACGCCCGTGGGAATGTCAGCAGTGTCGCGAAGTGTGCATGTGTTCGTCAGTCACGACAGTTAATCATATTATCAGTGATTAAGATGTACTGTTATAACAGCTAAGTGCTGATTTGAAGTATCCAGAACTGTTGTTTGTTGTTAAAAAAGAAAGCCATTGTGTCTGTCATAAAGAAAAATAGAACTTTTTATTTAACTGTCTATGTTTTTTTCCATAAGTATTATACTGTTGTTTATTTATTTCTTTTGGTATATACCTAAAAATTTGTCTGATTTCAATCTATGCGACCCGGGCATATTAAAACCCACCAACACACCTGTGCCTTCTGATCTTAGTCTGCAATATTGTTTTTCAAGCAGTATATAGTCTGAAAATTTCCCGTAAAGATAATGAATAATTTTGTCCAAATTAAAGGTATATAGTGTTGTAATAGTTGAAAAAACAACAATTATTTGCGCCATGTATGACTCGCTTATGGGTGTTGTTACAACATTGCTAAGCAACGCTTAAAATCGCAATGAGCGGGAAGTCTATAGTTTACATAACTTAATTACTATTTTTTTTACGGCTTAAACATACTTAGTCTAATGTTATGAAGTTAAGATTTAATTGCCATTTTAATTTTCCAATTAACAACGTTAATTGGAAATTGAAAGTTAAACGTCAATTCAATTTTTCGACGTCATTTGTTAACAAAGTGATCAAATATATGACGTTCTTTAAATTGGTATATCTCAATGACTAACCCTTTGATTTGAAAACAATTTTCACCGTCATATTCAAAAAGAAATTCTCACAATAATAAGTAAAAAACAAAGTTTCGAAAAAATCATATTAAGACCGGTTTTCTCGCGTCGTGCCTCATATATATATTGCTTATACTACCATCTGAATGCGTGTGTGTTAGATGTATGTACATAGGTGAAATTGAAATAAAAAATAAATGTATGTGTATGGGGTGGGTGTGGGAGGGGTGTCCTTTTCAGTACACTGAGAAAATTTTAAATCTGGAGTTGAAAATAGTGTTACTTCAGACTGTTTATGGTACCTTTTGGACGATTTAACATCCCGTTGCATTATGTTTATTTAGGTAAGTGTTTGCTAGTAAGCATTTACAAAATGAAATTGGTCAAGAACGACAGACACACCATTGTAGTGTTTGAACCGGTCAATTTACTTGACTGATAAATAATTAGCTGATTAACCAAAGTAAAAGTGTTATTGAAATACTGCTTTTTATTATTATAGAAAACAATAAATAAAATTTAAACAATAATACACTAATATTCAGTTAACATCTTTTCCACCAATGAATCTATTTTAGCACTGAAGCCAGGGTCTGAATCCGCCACTGTATAATTTGTAAGATATTGTTTTTTAAATGTTTAATTACTAACAACCCAAGACGTAACTTTTATATTTACAGTTTTATTTGATAATTTACTAGATAACTCTAATTTTACAAAAGATAAAGATCCTTATTGCAGAAATTTGGTAGATGCAACATTTTAAATAAATAAAAGTATTAGACAGACATTCTTATTTATTAAAATAACATTGAAAAATGTGTCTAATGGCATATATTATCTTGATGGAGTATTTCATGCTTTTAACATATCATATATACACTAAGCAAAAGAAATAAGTACTCCGATGATTTGTTTTTTTTTCTCTCAGAAATTATGTAAATTGCCGACTTGATTTACAATATTAAGAGTCACCATTTTCTTTTGCGTCATGATACCTACATGATATTATGCACTTTATTCAAAGAAATAATGACAATTGAAATTCGCAAAATCTTTGAGAAATTTAGAGATTTGGTGTTTTACGTAGAATATCTATACCAAATAGTTAATAATTTGTATGACGTGTGGACGTTAAGAACGCCTCACAGCCCGATATATTAACTGTTTGGGTAAAATGATTTTTCTGAAGGAAATCTGTGACAATTTGTTCCAGTTTGGGACAATTTTGTTACATAACAGTAACAATATTCATATTCATGTTTAGCTACACTCTTACAGTGAGTAGCGCCCCTTTAGATTGGGGAAATTGAATTAATCGGGTGTTGCAACGAGCATCTTAGACGCCTGCATGACGATGGAACAAATCTGTATTAAGACAATTAGTCCATGCACCAGAATACCACATCCAAGAAAACATTCACGTGCTTTATTTACGGGTCGTTCCTGGCGTCCAAGCGGTTTTTCTGCTTGGCGCCATACCGTCTCAGACTTGACGGCTAATCTCTTGAGTATGTTAAAATTCTTGCTTCCTGGAAGAAAACTACCTTCAGTCCACTTAAGCAACAAATGGCACAGGATTCCGTGCGTTTTATATAAAAAGGCTTTATTACAAAGAAAAAATGCACGAACTACGACATTCCCCGGATTCAGACCAACACTAAATACCCTTTTTCAATAGACACAAAGGAATCTTGTGTTTTTTCTTAATGTCAACACGTCATACAAATAATTTATAACTTGGTATAGATATTCTGCAAACAAATCTGTACTGCACGTTTTAATAACCTGTATTAAGCGATCATACTTGGGGACGCAGCACAGCCCATTTTTTTATTATTTAAACACCAAAACAATAAAGAAGACAAAGACTTCATGTACAAAACACCATGCATTTCATGTTTTAGTTCAGGAGTGTACTTAGAACATCTGTTAAGTGTATATGAAACTTTGGTTACTTTTTAACCCAGATGCAAGTAATATTTCTGAAATTCTTTCAAATTAACTTTATTTCCAATATAATTTATATATACTGTTCATTACATAGTTTAACAATGGAAGTGACAGGAAGAACATCAAGAGAGAACGACATCAGTTATAAGGATTCGGAGAGAACCAATGTTACTTTTAACTGTGATCCATGCGAAAACGAAGGGGACGAACAACCGGCCGAGGGCTTCTGTGAAAATTGCCAAGAATACTTATGTTCATCTTGCTTCAAGATTCATCGCCGTCCCGCTCTTTGGCGTCATCATGTTCTCCTTGATAAAGAAAATATGCCATCATCAAAGACAACAAAAGAACAGTTGAATTATGAATGTACCGAACCTTGCTCTGAGCATTCCACAAAATTACTTGAATATTTTTGTCAGACACATTCTCAGCTAGGTTGTCCAGTATGTATTACTACAAAACATCGAATGTGCAACGACGTTGATTATATACCAGACATAGCAGGCCACTTCAGAGAAAGTGCAGAAGTAAAGGAGACATTTAAAACTCTTCAAAGTTTAAAAGAAGATATAAATACATATTCTGCCACACTTAGTGTAGACAAAATGAAAGTTAAGACTTATGAAAAGAATGCAAAAGAACACATATTGCAATTAAGAGATGAATTCGAAAGCATATGCAACAGACTGGTTGAAAATGTCGAACATGTTAGGTCAAGTGACGAAAGTAATATACAGGGTTATCTCGAAGCATGTGAAGATATATTAAACAAGATAAAAATACGCCAGTCTGTTCTTGAGAAAAAACAAGCAGATATGAATGTATCTCAAGTATTCACCGAAGCTAAGCTTTCAAAATTGTCTGCAATAGACTGTAGAAGAGAGTTCGAGACGATTAGAGAATGCACAAAAAGTCGACACTACGAGATAAAGTTTGATATCGAAGCCTTGCGTGAAATGATGAAATTGACTTTCCGTGACCAGATAAATGAAAACGCAAAGGATTCAAGTGAATGTGAATACCCGCAGACAAATACAGTAAGAGGACAATACCATGACGTAAGTCAAGATTATCGCAGAGATTCTATGTAACACGTCAAAACTATTTTTATAAAAATGCAGATTTCTAACGTCTCCTTTTATTGGATAATCGTGACGTTTATATAATTTATATACACGGCTGCTGTCAAGAAATGAATTATTTTTTGTTTTTTTTAGTTCTCAAATACAGTTATTATGCTGTATTATAAATTTGTTAAAAAGATGTCTGGCATGTTATATTGTAATATATAAACGTTTTTCTGCGATAAAACACTCGTTTATGCTGAGCCATATAACGTGCCAGACCGTTTTGGACACATAGGAATCGCTTCTCCTGTCTGTCCGTCTGTCTTTCCGTCCGTAACAAAACTTGTCCGGACTACTCTTCATAAACTACAGGTGCAATTTCATCCAAACTTTACAGGAATGCTCAGTACCAAGTCTAGTTGTGCATTTCGTCAGCATTTTTGGTTCAATAATTTTTGTCAGAGTTATGTCCCTTTGATATTTTTTATTTTTAATAAACATTTTCCTACTACTCTTCTTATACCAATAATGTCCAAACTTTACAGGAATGATCAGTGCCGAGTCTAGTTGTGCATATCATCGGCTGTTTATGGTTCAATGAATTTTTTTGGATTATTGGCCCTTTAATTAATTTTATTTTTTTAAGTTTTTCCGGACTACTCCTCATATACCTAATAAGTTACTCGTTCATAAAATTTCAGATTCAAATTAAGAAATATATTTTGCTACAATTCTGAAATCAATACTATATCCCAACTATAAGATAACACCTTGGTTTCAACATTTTCTTTTGCTTATCTTTAGAAATATCCTATCGACTAAATTCACCAGGTTATTTGAAAAAATACAATCTTCATTCATAATTTGACTTTCAATGTTAAATGCCTAAATTGTGCTTGATTTTTGTTGACTTTTCCTATAACTTTATTATTTTTGAATGAATTGTCTTCAAACTTGAATATTATTATAACAACCGTCTAGGGTAAACATTGAAGGGAATTTAGACGTTGACCTAATCTTATAAATGACCTTGATAATAAAGGTAAAATTATAGAAAATTTCAATTTTAGCTACTGACTATTTATTTTTTTTTTTTTAAATAGTTTGAGTTCATTAAGACAAAACATTCTTTAGGATAAAACCTTCATGCATGTTAAATTGGCATTTACTCATTCATCACATTGACCTTTAAGGTTAAAATATTGAACTTTCAGTGATTATGCTGTAATTGACTCTTACTTGGTAATTAATCAATGGGTTATCTTCATACAACAACCTTGTGAGCAAGACTTAATGAAAAGTTGAACTGACCTTTGTCATGACATTTAAATGTCCTAGATATTCAAGGTTAAATTATTGAATTTTGGTAAAATTATCATAATTTTGTTATTTACGTACGGATTTCATTTATTGCGTAAACAAAACAAAGACTTGCTACCAAACAATCATATTGAATAATTTAGATGTGAACTTGACCTTTAATTGACCATGGCTGTGCAGGTCAAAATAACGAAATTATCTTGTTTTTGTTTGCTTATCTGGCTATAATTTTGTTATTTCTAAATGGATTAATTTCATATTTAGAAACAACATCTTTCAAGTCATAACCTTCATTTATATTAAACTCAAATTGACATTGACCCATGGATGATATTGACTTTGGAGGTCAAGTGATTGAATTTTCACTGATATTTAAATAATTGGCTGAAACTTTGTAATCAATCAATGGGTTATTTCATACATTGACAAAACAACCTTTTTGACAAGACCTATAGACCTTGACCATTAAGGTCAAATTATTAAATTTCGGTTAATTTGTCATAATTTTTTTATGTAGATGAACAAAGGAAATCTTGTGACCAAACGGACATGTTGAATAATTCAGATATGACCTTGGCATTGAAATGACATTGACGGTCAAATGATTGTATTTTGCATATATTTTCTTAACTTTGTCTTTATTTATGAAAATGATTCATACCTTACATCTGTAAATATGAACATGTTTTATATGTTAGGAATGTATGCTTAATTTAAAGCTCACACTTTAAAGGTAAACGCTACTCATATAATATATGTTTATTTAGTGTTTCATTTTTCAAATATTATTAAATGTTTTCACTAAATAAATGGGAAGCGTTTACCTTTCAAGTGTAAGCTTTAAATTACGAATACATTTCTAACATTTGTAGAGAAACGCAGAATATATGCAGAGTGACATATCTGAGCAGCACGTCTTCAAAATTAACTTTTTTAAGATTGACCTTAGAGAATTTTCACTCGAGCAGCGGAACATGTGTTTTTATCGTTTTGCATATTAATCTTTTCTATATGCAGTGTTTATGTGATTAATGTAAAAAAAATTACATGGCATAATATCTCTTTCTATGTGCTATGTAAATCTTATTTAAAAGACGTAATATTTCTTACTTTGTGCTATTGAAAGGTTAATTCAAAGACTGATAATGAAGAAGGAAATGTATTCGGGAGTGGAGTTGCATGGAAACAATCGATATCTATGGTATATATGAACATGTTTTATATGTTAGGAATGTATGCTTAATTTAAAGCTCACACTTTAAAGGGAAACGCTACCCATTTATTTAGTAAAAACATTAAATAATATTTGAAATTGGCTGTTTATCACCAATCTTAAAACAAAAGATCAAAATAAAAAAAACGGGTTTATTGAATCTCTTTCATTTGTAAAGAAACACAGAATGCATGCAGAGTGACATATCTGAGCAGCACGTCTTCAAAATCACTTTCTTAGACTGGCCTTTGAGAAATTTTATTCGAGCAGCGGAACATGTGTTTTTAACATTTTATCTTCTTGAATATAGTTTTTTCTATATGCAATGTTTATGTGATTAATGTAAAAAGAATTGACATTGCATAATATTTCTTTCTATGTGCTATGTATAGCTTATTCAAAGATGTAATATTTCTTTCTTTGTGTTATTGAAAGGTTAATTCAAAGACTGATTATAAAGGAGGAAATATATTCAAGAGTGGAGGTGCATGGGGACAATCGAAATATCAGGTATAAATGAACATGTTTTGTATGTTAGGAATGTATGCTTAATTTAAAGATAACACTTTAAAGGTAAACGCTACTCATTTATTTAGTAAAAACATTAAATAATATTTGAAATTGGCTGTTTATCAGCAATGTTAAAACAAAAGATCAAAATACAAAAAAAGGGTTATTGAATCTCTTTCATTTGTAAAGAAACACAGAATGCATGCAGAGTGACATATCTGAGCAGCACGTCTTCAAAATCAGTTTCTAAGATTGACCTTTGAGAAATTTTACTCGAGCAGCGGAACATGTTTTTTTAACTTTTTATCTTCTTGTATATAGTTTCTTTCTATATGCAATGTTTATGTGATTAATGTAAAAAAATACATGGCATAATATCTCTTTCTATGTGCTATATGTAAATCTTATTTGAAAGACGTAATATTTCTTACTTTGTGCTATTGAAAGGTTAATTAAGACTGATAATGAAGAAATAAAAGTATTCGGGAGTGGAGGTGGATGGGGAGTACCGATATCTATGGTATATATGAACATGTTTTATATGTTAGGAATGTATGCTTAATTTAAAGCTAATACTTGAAAGGTAAACGCTACTCATTTATTTAGTGAAAACATTAAATAATATTTGAAATTGGCTGTTTATCAGCAATGTTAAAACAAAAGATCAAAATACAAAAAAGAGGGTTATTGAATCTCTTTCATTTGTAAAGAAACACAGAATGCATGCAAAGTGACATATCTGAGCAGCACGTCTTCAAAATCACTTTTTAAGATTGATATTTGAGAATTTTCACTTGAGCAGCGGAATATGTGTTTTTAACTTTTTATTTTCTTCTATATTAATCTTTTCTATATGCAGTGTTTATATGATTAATGTAAAAAAATACATGGCATAATATCTCTTTCTATGTGCTATGTAAATCTTATTTCAAAGACGTAATATTTCTTACTTTGTGCTATTGAGTGCTATTGAAAGGTTAATTCAAAGACTGATAATGAAGAAAAAAAAGTATTCGGGAGTGGAGGTGGATGGGGAGTACCGATATCTATGGTATATATGAACATGTTTTATATGTTAGGAATGTATGCTTAATTTAAAGCTAATACTTGAAAGGTAAACGCTACTCATTTATTTAGTGAAAACATTAAATAATATTTGAAATTGGCTGTTTATCAGCAATGTTAAAACAAAAGATCAAAATACAAAAAAGAGGGTTATTGAATCTCTTTCATTTGTAAAGAAACACAGAATGCATGCAGAGTGACATATCTGAGCAGCACGTCTTCAAAATCACTTTCTAAGATTGACCTTTGAGAAATTTTACTCGAGCAGCGGAATATGTGTTTTTAACTTTTTATCTTCTTGTATATAGTTTTTTTCTATATGCAATGTTTATGTGATTAATGTAAAAAAATTATACATGGCATAATATCTCTTTCTATGTGCTATGTAAATCTTATTTGAAAGACGTAATATTTCTTACTTTGTGCTATTGAAAGGTTAATTCAAAGACTGATAATGAAGAAAAAAAAGTATTCGGGAGTGGAGGTGGATGGGGAGTACCGATATCTATGGTATATATGAACATGTTTTATATGTTAGGAATGTATGCTTAATTTAAAGCTAATACTTTTAGACATTGCATACTATTTCTTTCTATGTGCTATTTAAAGCTTATTCAAAGACGTAATATTTCTTACTTTGTGTTATTTGAAAGGTTAATTCAAAGACTGATTATAAAGAAGGAAATGTATTCAAGAGTGGAGGTGCATGGGGACAATCGATATCTATGGTATAAATGAACATGTTTTGTATGTTAGGAATGTATGCTTAATTTAAAGCTCACCACTGAAAGGTAAAAGCTACACATTTATTTAATGAAAAAAAATTGATTTGGACTGTTTATCAACAATTTTAAAACAACAGTTACAAATGCAATAAAAGGACGTTATTAAATCACTCTCGTTTTTAAAGAAACACAGAATATATGCAGAGTGACATATCTTAGCAGCACGTGTTCAAAATTAACGTATTCAAAATGCAATAAAAAGTTGTTTAATCACCGTCATTTATAGAGAAACATAGAATATATGCAGAGTGACAAACGGACCAGCACGTCTTCAAAATTTGTTAATTTAGGAGTGGGCTTTGAGGTATATCACTCCAGCAGCTCAACATTTGTTCTTTCTTTTTCATATTTACCTTTCTTTAAATGTTTATATGATTTATTAAAAAGAGTTACATAATGCAATAATATTTCTCTGTGCTATTTATCTTGAATCAAAGACTGACGAGTGCTGATTCATGGGAACATGCTACACGTGAAAGCTAAACGCTACTCGTTTAATTAATGAAAACATTTAATAATGTTTATTAACTTTCTTTATCAATGTAAATATTGCTTGCTTGGAATAAATAAACCAACCGTATCTATGAATTCACATAACGGTATATTTACTTGAAGCATGGGAAATCATTTGTGTCATATCGAGGATCATTGAAAAAAATGTTAATATAAGAAGACATTTTGCGTGTTTTGAAAAATATATATGAACAGATTTGTAACCCTTGCAAAATGTTTTCATGCCACTGACAATGGGTAAAAAACTACAATTTATAGACTCTTAGCCATTATTTATTTATTTATTTGTATGAAAGAAAATATCTAAATGAATTACTTTGAAAGTTGTCAATCAATTCACTATAACAGTTATATTTTAAGATACAGTTTCGTTTCTCATGAAACAATTTATAGGAAGTCTCTTCCTTAAGTGCACGTGCTACAAATAATGGTTCCAAATCTATTGGCATTATTTATTTTAACGATTTAATTTCATTATAATAAAAATCATTTTGACAATCGATGCTGTATATAAGTTATTCTGATGTTTTCATTTTCCATCAATGTTTTGAAATCGATCTGTATCTTTGTTACTTTTTAAAGCAATTTTATTGTTGAACTGAGTTAATTCCACAAAAATCCAACAATTGTAATGTTAAAACAAATATAAAACATCAATAAAAGAAAATTATCTAATCACCTTATTCATAAAGAAACATAGTAAATATATAGAGTGACATATCTGACCAGCACGTCCATAAGATATACTCGTACATTAAATTTCTAATTAAAATTACGAAAATTGATGTATTTTTTACAATTCTGAAATCATTACTGTAACGTAACTATATTAGAACACAATTTTTTACAACTTGGTTTTTTCCTTACCTTCAGAAATGTCTAAACGATTTAATTTCACCATGACAAATAATAATAATAATAATAATAATAATAATAATAATAATAATAAAATAAAAATCTAAAAAAATATATAAATGAATTTAAAATTTCATTTCAATCGATACTGAGATTTAATTTTTACGCTTGACTAATTTATCATTTTACTGTGTTTGTTTTACTTTACGTTTGTTTTCTATAGACCTGAATAAGCAAATACAAGTTTTTATTTCAACAAATGTATTTGTTAACTCATTTATAAAACAAATTAAAATATGTTCAGAGTGACATGTCTGACCAGCACATCTTTTTAAATCAGTTAATGAGGCATTTCATTTTAGAAGTGAGGCATTTATTTTATGTTCACATGTTAATATTCATTATTTGAAATACAATGTGTATGTAATTTATAAAAAAAGAAGTTACATCACATAATATTTCTTCCGTTGTTACAGCTTGATTCAGATGTTGGTTATAAGGAAGAGAAAAGAAACAAAAAGAGTGGAAAGGTGTGGGAACAATCAGGAAATGTGGTATACAATGTATATATATTTTTTCATACCGATTTAGCCAAATAAACTGTAAAATGTAAATTAAAATGTTTTATAGGTATGAATGTATACCTAATTGACATAACAAAGCTCAGTATCTATTGCTACACGTGAAAGGTGAGCAATGAACGGTTATGTGTGAAAACATTTGATAACATTTATAATGAGTTGTTCATTAATTTCCTGAAACAATGTAAATATCAGAACAGAAAGAACAGAACAGAAAATCTATTCAGTGTTATGCATATACAGCACATCGACATCAACCAATACATAAATACATTTGTGACAACAATGACATAGTTAAAACACATGAATATATACAATTACACAATCTAAGAGAGTGTTTCAAAAGTTTAAATATTATTATTAAATGAATCGATTAACAAAAGTTTTACTGATGTTTTCTGAATATTAGTAAATGCAATTACATGTATAGTTCTCACTCTACGCGGCATTTAAAAATTCTTATCGTTTATGGAAAGCATGTTTAATATACACTGAACTTTTATAAAGCAATGGTGTACTCTCAGTTTTCATTAGTTCAACAGAGTTTACCATACTTGGTCTAACACGGAAATATCTTGGGTTATACCTTATACCTAATGAATTATAAAAATTCCTTAGAATTTGTAATCGTCTCTATAAATTCACATATCGGGTATCACTTCAAGCAAGGGATGAATAATTTGTCAGATCAAATAACAATGAAACACTTTATATTGTGCAAAGGCAATATACGGGCTTTCAAGAAAGAATGGATTTGTTGCACTTGCAAAATGGTTGTATGCCACTGACAATGGCTAAATTTAGGTGCTGGTTGGTTAAATAAAGCTACAATGATATTGAACGCCTAGCCCTTACTCGTTATATGAAAGAAAATGTATGTGAATGAAACACTTTGAAATGTTAAAATCAGTTATCACTATCATAACAGTCCTTTTTTCTTCCTCTCATACACTATATTACCAAATGTCTCTTCTTTAAGGTATTAGCACCCTAATGCATTACCTCCGCGTTGAAGAGTATTCAAATAGGCTAGAATTACTGTTAACTACATTAAAAATGAGGGCCATGGGTTCAATCCCCAGAAGGGCCAACTTTTTTTTTCTTTCTTTTTTTCTTTTAACATTATTTATGTATCTCTCATGTCCCATATTGAAAGAAAAAAGTGTTTAATTTTGAATTTTTAATTTATATAGGTATTTATTGGCTAAATTATGCTAAATCTAGTAATAAATATGGTACCTGATATTTTCAAAGTGTAATATAATCAAAACTAGACGGTAAAAGTATTTCATATTTTACAAGATCAACCAATATACTTTTAAAAAATTTAGGGAAACTTTGAAAACAGGCACTCATTTGGGTAAATTTTAAGAATTTTTTTAATTAGGCTCCCTTAGTAGAAAAATGGTCAGACATGTGGTAAAAATGGGTGGGGTAGGGTTACATTTTTATACAGATTTCATAAATTTTAAGTAGAAACCATAATTTGGCTTATGTGGATTGTTAGCTGAATGGTACTATTTGTTTCTTACCAAAAATACAGGCGTACTTTAAGGTATACATCTGACATATGATGTCATTTCTTTAGTTCCTGATAGTGCCCATTAGGGTCCTAATACCTTAATTCTATATGGTATAGATGTGTTTTTGAAATCCTTGAGCGTTATGTGTTGAAGTGTTGAACGATTAAACTTCATGATAAAAACAATACCAAAGTGTTATTTTGAAATTTCTTAGAATCAAGGCTGTATATATGTATATTTTGATAACGTTTTCATTTTCCATCCGCATAATGGAATCTTTCCAATTATATATTCGTTTTAAGTCAATAAGTCACATTTATTATAGAACTTAGTTGATTCTTACATTAAAGTATAGCTTTTATTTCAATAAAAGCAATGTAAAAACAAATATTAAAAATGCAATTAAATAACCCTTATTCACAAGGAAACATAAATATATGTACAGTGGCGTATCTGACCAGCACGTCTTCAAATCAGGTTTTATGGAGGAGTGGGATTTGATGTATTTCACTCCAGGATTGGATTCTTTGCTTTACTTTTTTATTTTCCTTTAGCTTTAATTTAAAGTGCATGTTATGCGATTTAAATAAAAAAAGTTTCATAACGTAATAGTTCTTTCTATGTGCTATTTAAAGGTTATTTCAAAGACTGACTATGTGCAAAAAAAAAAAAGATAGATTAAAGTTTTGTCACTAGGGCTTTGTTACTGATACGTTTTATATAAATGTTTTCTATTACAAACCTTCAAAGTACCCCTTTTCCACAAAAATGCATTTTTGTTATCTCTCTGTCCAGTTTCAAAATTTTAAAAATAATCTTCTTCATGACATTGGTAAATGTTTTCAACGACAAATCCATCAATCATTTATACCGGTATATGTACATAGAAAAACACCACTTAAAATTGCGGCACCATCGCTTTAATTTTTAACCTTTACAACTTTACTGAGTTAGTCGTTGTACATTTTGTATAAATATCATCGTTAAAAACAAGAATCGGTATCAAAATCAAATAAATTTGATTTACATTTTACACTATATTTGCTATTTGTCAATCTTATTCTAGAACTTATTTGATTTCTATGAAAAAGAAGTTTTAATTTCAAAAACTGTGATATCAATACAGTCCTTTTAAAATAATACAAAATGAAACTATTCAATATCCTTGATTTATAAAGCAATATGGAACATTTGCTTAGAGACATATCTGACCGTCAAATCTTTTTACATATTAAGTTTCTAAAGGAGTAACTTTGTTGCATTTCACTCCAGCCGTGGGGAATTCCTTTTATCTTTTTATGTTTATTTAAATGCAAAGAGTATGTAATTGATACCAAAACATTATATAACATAACATTTCTTTCTATATGCTATTTGAAGACTGAAAGGACACCTCAAAAGCAGGAACATAGAGGTTACGGAAATAAAGGTTTAGCATATTGTGAAGATTCAACATTTGAGGTAGTCTTCTTTAAAACTATGTGACATATATAACAGTTTTATTTAATTTGACTCATTATTAAAGTACAGTAAGAGTTGCCTCTCTTTCTATTATGCTCTCGTGAAAATTGGCTCCACCTTTTAATCTCCGTCTATTTTCGTGATAATGCCATATATGGAAGTTGTAAAATCATTTACAAATGTTAATCGCGTTAGAATGTTAAAGGAAAGTGTGATGTTGTCAACTACGCTCTCAACGTCATGATGCACAGCATTAAACGTGTTGTGTACGTTCCTACATGTCGCAAATTTGAAAATACAGTTTGCAATTTATCTAAGTTGTTGCTTTTTAACAGCTTCCATTTTTATCAGATCGAGATAAACAAAACGCTTAATACCAGTGCAGTATGTAACTCTCAGATCGACAATTAGATTTTTACTTATCTGTTTAGTAGAACCGAAGTATGCATTGTCAAGTTTCCAAGGCTGGATTTTTGGCAAAGAATAGTCTCCATACCCTTCGAGGTCATTTCTAAATATTTACTAAAATTTTCGGGTCTAACGGAAGAAGATTCTGTCAGATCTGAAAGAGATATAAGCTCTTAACAACATCCCAATTACCGGATAAAAATTGACGAATATTGTCCAACAATATTGACCTAACACTCTATTATCTTTCATAAAGGTCATTTGAATAAACAGTATCTAGACCAGTATCTATCGAATATATCTATGTATTTGCTAACTTCAATCGTCAGTGAGGTGTGGTTAATTGATAAAGATGTCGGACTACCGATCTGAAGGTCTCTGGTTCGATTCCTTACCAACACCACGTTATGATTCTTTTTAAATTTACTTGCAAGAATTAATTCTAAATCGTTTTACCAAACCTGGTTTTAGAATACCTTTTAAGTAGTGTTTTTAATACAATTTTTTTCTTTCATTACCGTATTTTTAAACGGTTCTCTTTGTGGCATTTTGCAATCGGTTATGCTTTAGCGCATACACGCGTTAAGTTACATAACATAATATTTCTTCCGTTGTTACAGCTTGATTCAGAGGTCAGTTATAAGGCAGAGAAAGGAAACAAGAAGAGTGGAAAGGTGTGGGAACAATCAGGAAATGTGGTATACAATATATATATATTTTTTTCATACCGATTTAGCCAAATTAACTGTAAATGTAAATTAAAATGTTTTATAGGTAGGAATGTATACCTGATTGACATAACAAAGCTCAGTATCTATTGCTACACGTGAAAGGTGAGCAATGAACGGTTATGTGTGAAAACATTTGATAACATTTATAATGAGTTGTTCATTAATTTCCTGAAACAATGTCAATATCAGAACAGAAAGAACAGAACAGAAAATCTATTCAGTGTTATGCATATTACAGCACATCGACATCAAACCAATACATAAATACATTTGTGACACAATGACATAGTTAAAACACATGAATATATACAATTACACAATCTAAGAACGTGTTTTCAACAGTTTAAAATATTACTATTAAATGAATCGATTTAAAAAAGTGTTACTGGTATTTTCCCGAATATTAGTAATGCAATTACATGTATAGTTCTCACTCTACGCGGGCATTTTAAAAATTCTTGTCGTTCAGGAAAGCATGTTTTTATATACACTGAAATTTTAATAAAGCAATGGTGTACTCTCAGTTTTCATTAGTTCAACATATTTACCATACTTGGTCTAACACGGAAATATCTTGGGATATACCTTATACGTAATGAATAATAAAAATTCCTTAGAATTTGTAATCGTCTCTATAAATTCACATATTTGTGTCACTTCAAGCAAAGGATTAATAATTTGTCAGATCAAGTAACAATGAAACACTTTATATTGTACAAAGGCAATTTACGGGTTTTCAAGAAAGAATGGATTTGTTGCACTTGCAAAATGTTTGTATGCCACTTATAGTGGCTAAAATAGGGTGCTGGTTGGTAAAGTAAAGCTACTAGGTTACTGTACGCCTTTCCCTTACTCGTTGTATGAAAGAAAATGTATGTGAATGAAACGCTTTGAAATGTTAAAATCAGTTATCACTATCATAACAGTCCTTTTTTTTCTCCCTCTCATAAAGCATATTACCAAATGTCTCTTCTTTAATTCTATATGGTATAGATGTGTTTTTGAAATCCTTGAGCGTTATGTGTTAAAGTGTTGAACGATTAAACTTCATGATAAAAACAATACCAAAGTGTTATTTTGAAATTTCTTAGAATCGATGCTGTATATATGTATATTTTTGATTACGTTTTCATTTTCCATCCGCATAATGGAATCTTTCCAATTATATATTCGTTTTAAGTCAATAAGTCACATTTATTATAGAAACTTAGTTGATTCTTACATTAAAGTATAGCTTTTATTTCAATAAAAGCAATGTAAAAACAAATATTAAAAATGCAATTAAAATAACCCTCATTCACAAGGAAACATAAATATATGTACAGTGGCGTATCTGACCAGCACGTCTTTCAAATCAGGTTTTATGGAGGAGTGGGATTTGACGTATTTCACTCCAGGATTGGATTTTTGCTTTACTTTTTTATTTTCCTTTAGCTTTAATTTAAAGTGCATGTTATGTGATTTAAAATAAAAAAAGTTTCATAACGTAATAATTCTTTCTATGTGCTATTTAAAGGTTAATTCAAAGACTGACTATGTGCAAAAGAATAAATATAGATTAAAGTTATGTCACTAGAGTTTTGTTACTGATACGTTTTATATAAATGTTGTCTATTGCAAACATTCAAAGTACCCCTTTTTCCACAAAAAATGAATTTTCGTTATTTCTCTGTCCAGTTTCGAAAATTTAAAATAATCGTGTTTTGGAATCTGTCGATGACACCGGTAAATATTTTCAACGACAAATCCACCAATCATTTACCGGTATATGTTCATTGAAAAGCACCACATAAAATTGCGGCACCACCACTTTAACTTTTAACATTTACAACTTTACTGTCTTGCTCACTTAGTCGTTGTATATTTTGTATAAATATCATCGTTAAAAACAAGAATCGGTATCAAAATCAAATAAATTTGATTTACATTTTACACTTTATTTGCTTTTTGTCAATCTTATTCTAGAACCCTTTTGGTTTCCAAAGAAAAAAAAGTTTTAATTTAAAAAACTGTGATATCAATACAGTCCTTTTAAAATAATACAAAATGAAACTATTCAATATCCTTTATTTATAAAACAATATGGAACATTTGCTTAGAGACATATCTGACCGTCAATCTTTTTACATAAGTTTCTAAAGGAGTAACTTTGTTGCATTTCACTCCAGCCGTGGGGAATTCCTTTTATCTTTTTATGTTTATTTAAATGCAAAGAGTATGTAATTGATACCAAAACATTATATAACATAACATTTCTTTCTATATGCTATTTGAAGACTGAAAGGACACCTCAAAAGCAGGAACATAGAGGTTACGGAAAGGAACGTGTAGCATATTGTGAAGATTCAAAATATGAGGTAGTCTTCTTTAAAACTATGTGACATTTATAACAGTTTTATTTAATTTGACTCATTATTAAAGTACAGTAAGAGTTGCCTCTCTTTATATTATGCTCTCGTGAAAATTGGCTCCACCTTTTAATCTCCGTCTATTTTTGTGATAATGCCATATATGGAAAGTACAAATGTTAATCGCGTTAGAATGTAAAAGGAAAGTGCGATGTTGTCAATTACGCTCTCAACGTCATGATGCACAGTATTAAACGTGTTGTGTACGTTCCTACATTTCGCAAATTTGAAGTTATACATTTCTAAATACAGTTTGCAATTTATCTAAGTTGCATTTTAACAGCTTCCATTTTATCAAATCGAGATAATCAAAACGCTTAATACCAGTGCAGTATGTAACTCTCATATCGACAATTTGATTTTTACTTATCTGTTTAGTAGAACCGAAGTATGCATTGTCAAGTTTCAAAGGCTGGACTTTTGGCAAAGAATAGTCTCCATACCCTTCGAGGTCATTTCTAAATATTTACTAAAATTTTCGGGTCTAAGGGAAGAAGATTCTGTCAGATCTGAAAAAGTTTTCAAAATGTTTTCATGCCACTGACAATGGGTAAAAAACTACAATTTATAGACTCTTAGCCATTATTTATTTATTTATTTGTATGAAAGAAAATATCTAAATGAATTACTTTGAAAGTTGTCAATCAATTCACTATAACAGTTATATTTTAAGATACAGTTTCGTTTCTCATGAAACAATTTATAGGAAGTCTCTTCCTTAAGTGCACGTGCTACAAATAATGGTTCCAAATCTATTGGCATTATTTATTTTAACGATTTAATTTCATTATAATAAAAATCATTTTGACAATCGATGCTGTATATAAGTTATTCTGATGTTTTCATTTTCCATCAATGTTTTGAAATCGATCTGTATCTTTGTTACTTTTTAAAGCAATTTTATTGTTGAACTGAGTTAATTCCACAAAAATCCAACAATTGTAATGTTAAAACAAATATAAAACATCAATAAAAGAAAATTATCTAATCACCTTATTCATAAAGAAACATAGTAAATATATAGAGTGACATATCTGACCAGCACGTCCATAAGATATACTCGTACATTAAATTTCTAATTAAAATTACGAAAATTGATGTATTTTTTACAATTCTGAAATCATTACTGTAACGTAACTATATTAGAACACAATTTTTTACAACTTGGTTTTTTCCTTACCTTCAGAAATGTCTAAACGATTTTAATTTCACCATGACAAATAATAATAATAATAATAATAATAATAATAATAATAATAATAAAATAAAAATCTAAAAAAATATATAAATGAATTTAAAATTTCATTTCAATCGATACTGAGATTTAATTTTTACGCTTGACTAATTTATCATTTTACTGTGTTTGTTTTACTTTACGTTTGTTTTCTATAGACCTGAATAAGCAAATACAAGTTTTTATTTCAACAAATGTATTTGTTAACTCATTTATAAAACAAATTAAAATATGTTCAGAGTGACATGTCTGACCAGCACATCTTTTTAAATCAGTTAATGAGGCATTTCATTTTAGAAGTGAGGCATTTATTTTATGTTCACATGTTAATATTCATTATTTGAAAATTAATTTCCTGAAACAATGTCAATATCAGAACAGAAAGAACAGAACAGAAAATCTATTCAGTGTTATGCATATACAGCACATCGACATCAACCAATACATAAATACATTTGTGACAACAATGACATAGTTAAAACACATGAATATATACAATTACACAATCTAAGAACGTGTTTCAACAGTTTAAATATTACTATTAAATGAATCGATTAACAAAAGTGTTACTGGTATTTCCCGAATATTAGTAATGCAATTACATGTATAGTTCTCACTCTACGCGGCATTTAAAAATTCTTGTCGTTCAGGAAAGCATGTTTTATATACACTGAAATTTTATAAAGCAATGGTGTACTCTCAGTTTTCATTAGTTCAACATATTTTACCATACTTGGTCTAACACGGAAATATCTTGGGATATACCTTATACGTAATGAATAATAAAAATTCCTTAGAATTTGTAATCGTCTCTATAAATTCACATATTTGTGTCACTTCAAGCAAAGGATTAATAATTTGTCAGATCAAGTAACAATGAAACACTTTATATTGTACAAAGGCAATTTACGGGTTTTCAAGAAAGAATGGATTTGTTGCACTTGCAAAATGTTTGTATGCCACTTATAGTGGCTAAAATAGGGTGCTGGTTGGTAAAGTAAAGCTACTAGGTTACTGTACGCCTTTCCCTTACTCGTTGTATGAAAGAAAATGTATGTGAATGAAACGCTTTGAAATGTTAAAATCAGTTATCACTATCATAACAGTCCTTTTTTCTCCCTCTCATAAAGCATATTACCAAATGTCTCTTCTTTAATTCTATATGGTATAGATGTGTTTTTGAAATCCTTGAGCGTTATGTGTTAAAGTGTTGAACGATTAAACTTCATGATAAAAACAATACCAAAGTGTTATTTTGAAATTTCTTAGAATCGATGCTGTATATATGTATATTTTGATTACGTTTTCATTTTCCATCCGCATAATGGAATCTTTCCAATTATATATTCGTTTTAAGACAATAAGTCACATTTATTATAGAACTAAGTTGATTCTTACATTAAAGTATAGCTTTTATTTCAATAAAAGCAATGTAAAAACAAATATTAAAAATGCAATTAAATCACCCTTATTCACAAGGAAACATAAATATATGTACAGTGGCGTATCTGACCAGCCAGTCTTCAAATCAGGTTTTATGGAGGAGTGGGATTTGACGTATTTCACTCCACTTCATTGCATTATTTGCTTTACTTTTTTATTTTCCTTTAGCTTTAATTTAAAGTGCATGTTATGCGATTTAAATAAAAAAAGTTTCATAACGTAATAATTCTTTCTATGTGCTATTTAAAGGTTATTTCAAAGACTGACTATGTGCAAAAGAATAAAGATAGATTAAAGTTTTGTCACTAGAGTTTTGTTACTGATACGTTTTATATAAATGTTTTCTATTACAAACCTTCAAAGTACCCCTTTTCCACAAAAATGCATTTTTATTATCTCTCTGTCCAGTTTCGAAAATTTTAAAATAATCTTCTTCATGACACTGGTAAATATTTTCAACGACAAATCCAACAATCATTTACCGGTATATGTACATAGAAAAGCACCACATAAAATTGCGGCACCATCGCTTTAACTTTTAACCTTTACAACTTTACTGAGTTAGTCGTTGTATAAATATCATCGTTAAAAACAAGAATCGGTATCAAAATCAAATAAATTTGATTTACATTTTACACTATATTTGCTATTTGTCAATCTTATTCTAGAACCCTTTTGGTTTCCAAGAAAAAAAGTTTTAATTTAAAAAACTGTGATATCAATACAGTCCTTTTAAAATAATACAAAATGAAACTATTCAATATCCTTTATTTATAAAACAATATGGAACATTTGCTTAGAGACATATCTGACCGTCAAATCTTTTTACATAAGTTTCTAAAGGAGTAACTTTGTTGCATTTCACTCCAGCCGTGGGGAATTCCTTTTATCTTTTTATGTTTATTTAAATGCAAAGAGTATGTAATTGATACCAAAACATTATATAACATAACATTTCTTTCTATATGCTATTTGAAGACTGAAAGGACACCTCAAAAGCAGGAACATAGAGGTTACGGAAAGGAACGTGTAGCATATTGTGAAGATTCAAAATATGAGGTAGTCTTCTTTAAAACTATGTGACATTTATAACAGTTTTATTTAATTTGACTCATTATTAAAGTACAGTAAGAGTTGCCTCTCTTTATATTATGCTCTCGTGAAAATTGGCTCCACCTTTTAATCTCCGTCTATTTTTGTGATAATGCCATATATGGAAGTACAAATGTTAATCGCGTTAGAATGTTAAAAGAAAGTGCGATGTTGTCAATTACGCTCTCAACGTCATGATGCACAGTATTAAACGTGTTGTGTACGTTCCTACATTTCGCAAATTTGAAGTTATACATTTCTAAATACAGTTTGCAATTTATCTAAGTTGCATTTTAACAGCTTCCATTTTATCAAATCGAGATAATCAAAACGCTTAATACCAGTGCAGTATGTAACTCTCAGATCGACAATTAGATTTTTACTTATCTGTTTAGTAGAACCGAAGTATGCATTGTCAAGTTTCAAAGGCTGGACTTTTGGCAAAGAATAGTCTCCATACCCTTCGAGGTCATTTCTAAATATTTACTAAAATTTTCGGGTCTAAGGGAAGAAGATTCTGTCAGATCTGAAAAAGATAAAAGCTCTAAACAACATCCCAATTACCGGATAAAAATTGACGAATATTGTCCAACAATATTGACCTAGCACTATATTATCTTTCATAAAGGTCATTTGAATAAACAGTATCTAGACCAGTATCTATCGAATATATCTATGTATTTGCTAACTTCACTCGTCAGTGAGGTGTGGTTAATTGGTAAAGATGTCGCACTACCGATCTGAAGGTCTCTGGTTCGATTCCTTACCAACACCACGTTATGATTTTTTTTTAATTTACTTGCAAGAATTAATTCTAAATCGTTTTACCGAATACCTTTTAAGTAGTGTTTTTAAATACAATTTTTTTTCTTTCATTACCGTATTTTTAACGGTTCTCTTTGTGACATTATGCAATCGTTTATGCTTTAGCGCATACACACGATAAAGGCAGTTATTAAATATTAACAGATAGTACACACAACAAAGGTTTGCAATAGTTTAACCCATTACTTCATGAGCATTTATTGAAAAATGGCTGTTTTCATTGAAAAGTCTCCCGTTACAAGTTCAAATTGTTATAAAACTATAAAAACTGCTTCAATACTTATCAAACTTGGCACTAATGTTGACTGGACCATTGCCTTTGTAACAACATGCTCGGGCTTAAATTTTCTGTTACCATGGCAACGAGGGGACATCTCAAAATTGCCAAAAATCACTATTTTGCGTTGATTTTTTTCCATCAAAATTGATTTCAAAGTGCTGCAACTTCTCAATAGAGTCAA